TCTCTCCCTCTCTCCCTTCCTCTCTCTTAAAAAAACAAAATCAAAATCTCTTACTTTGAATAAGATGGTAGCACAGCAGTCCCAGTTGGGTGATAAAATGCTGCCCTGAGTAACAGAATCAATTGGCATACTAGAGGATATTAACCAACTAGTTATTGAAAAAGGTATGGGAAAAGCTCTGATTTGGGATTTGCTATATTAAAATTAGGCTATAAAATTATTTTTTATAGTCTCTGCTGTCATTTTTAGTTGTTTATTGCCTGTGTATGTATTAAAATAGTGCTTATCTTCCTGTTTGTTGAGACAAGATGACCTTTATTAAAGTTGTCACTGCCCTGGCCGGTGTGGCTCAGTTAGTTGGGCGTCGTCCTGTATACTGAAAGGTCACCGGTTTGATTCCCTGTCAGGGCACATTCCAGGGTTGTAGGCTCAATCCCTGGTAGGGGTGTGCAGATGGCAGCCAATAGGTGTTTTACTCTCACTTCCATGTTTCTTTCTCTCTCTCCCTCTCCCTTCCTCTCTCTCAAAATCAATTTTTAAAAAAAAGTTGTGTCACAGTAGGGTGATGCAAGTTCTGACTTACACATTAAGACCAATTATGTTAAAATAGTCATTTAAGATGGGAATTTTCTCTTAGCCTCCCAATTCTTACATGAGAAGAAGACTCTGAAGGGGCACTTAAAGTTTGAGTAGTAACACTTTCTAGTACCTGTTTATAGAAAAAAATTAATGACTCATCAATATACAATAAAATAAAATCCTGTTTTTTATGTCTAGCTACTCTCATGGAGCAATAGTCAGTCTAAATTGGTTTCAAACTTTTGACCATAACTTACAGTAAGAGTTATCCTGTATCACAGTCTGGCATAGATTTGCATGCAAACATGCAGGCATACTCAAACCCACATACATGGCACACATGCCCACTCGTGTATCATGAAGCAGTAATTACTCTTACGTGTGATATGCTCTGACATTTCTTTTTCTTTTGATTACTTACCCACTAAATTGGTTTCATGACTCACTGATGGTTTGCATCCAGCAGTTTCTCACCTTTCTCACAAGGCCCTTAACACTTAACTTTAGCTGCTCTAGTAATGGGGGCAGTTTGTTCTTTTCTACAACTATGAAGATTTATGGCCTTTTTTCCTAGGATTCTGGTACACCCAAGCTTCTTCCTGCAGTTAACTCCTTAGCTCCCAAGGCCTCAGCACCTATGTATAATTGTGTCTTACCTGTGGAGAATTCTCCAGAACTTAAATTCAGTGAAAAATTCTAACAGATTTCTATCTGCCAGTATATGTCTACAATCATATTGATTTAACAAAAATCTGGTGAATAGATCTTAGCATTTTTTTCAACTGATAGGACTTGGACAACCATTTGATAAAGATTTTAGGATTAACCAGAACAGGAAATAAAATGAAAGCATAGTATATTCTGAGGTAAAATCTAGCCCTAGTCTGCAAAGAATGTTTTAGGTCCCATCTTTTGAGAAGAGAGATGCCAGTACGTACCACTGCCTCTGCCTATAAATGTTGGAAAAGCCCTTGGCCCTGCTGCAGGCTTCTCCACAGTTGTCATATGAAGAGAATTGACTTATGAAAGGTTATCTGTTTGGAGGGGTCTAGAGAATCCCTTCCTAGACAGGAGTAAATCCATACAGAGTTATTGGGTTATTTCCAATAACCCAGTTCTAGGCCCTCTATTTGCCTACCTGCAAAATCTTGTTAGAGATCTGTCTCTAATCCAAAGTTAGTTCTGAGCAGTTGCAGTGGAAGGGCCCACTCTTTTTAATCTTCCCATCTGTGCTGTGGGTTGTGACAAGGAATAGGCATCATCCAGTGGCCGTGTATAGAATTGTCTTGGCTCTTGTTCATCGTTCTCCTCCCCAAACGTTCTGAATCAGCTGAATGGCCGTCAGCAGGAGATTGGCCAAATAACATATGCCACATTCAGTGGACCAGATACATGCAACAATAAGCAATTTGTATTAATAACTAATAATATGAAAAATACTTCCCAATGCATCATTAAATAAAAAAACAGGCTACTAAACAGTATATATGATATGATCCCTGCTGTATGTTTTAAATAATATGTGTGTGTGCATGTAGAGAGGAAAAGCCAAGAATGATAAACATCAAAATGTTATCTTCAGATAGTAGGATTATCACTAGTGATTTTTCCTTTAAAGGTTTTCTGTACTTTTCAAATTTTCTGTCTTTGGTTGTTTTATAGTTGTAGTCAGAAAAGTCAATAAACATATTTTTATTTTATTATTATTTTCTTTTAAATATGTTTTTATTGATGTTTTAGAGACAAAGGAAGGGAGAGAGAGAGAGAAACATCAATGAGAGAGAGCATCAATCGGTTGCCTCCTGCACAGCCCCTACTGGGTATCGAGCCCACAACCCAGGCTTGTGCCCTGCCTGGGATTCGAATCAGCAACTTGGTGCATGGAGCGACAGTCAACCACTGTCCACCACTTAGCCACATCGGTTGGGTCTATAAGCATATTTTAAAATCCCTCTTGCAGTGTTTTTTCCATTTTAAAATAATAAGGGAGCTGAAAAATATAAAATATACTAAAACATTGTGCAATGTGAGGGGGGCAAGAATAATGGGTAGCCACATAATCCATACCCAGCAGGTTGGGCCTTGGCCTGAGTTAGTGGCAGTGGCTGCATGAGAGGGCAGCAGGCCCTTTGCAAGGGAGTGTGGCAGTGCCAGCCAGAGAGCCTGCAGTGCAGACCCCAGGGGCAATCCCCCTCACACACACAGACACATGCGCCTCAGCAGGGACCCTTCCTCCATCATGCAGCCATCTGTCACAGGCACTTTCTTCTTGACAGTAATATTAGTGGACTATTTAATT